GCATAATATTTTCTATCTCTTGCAGTGTAAAATTCTTGATTTGTGCCTCTGTTAAATTTAATTCTGAAAAAAAAAACGATTTAGTTATATAAAATATTTATATATGCTATTAATAAACATGAACTGAAATATGTGTAAATTCCTAACCTGGGTTATTGAAGACGTCTCTCTTTTTGTTTTCAATATCTTCTGATAGCAGTTTCCATGTCTCCTCCCACACATGCTCAGGTCTTGAAAGTGAATCAGATAGGAGTAGCATTGCAAAGAAGTTTCGTAGATAGTCTCCAAAACACCAAAAACTTGCGTCTCTCAAACTTTCAATCCAAAACTGATCATCATCCAGTATCCCACGCGCCATACATGCTTCTTTGTATGATTTGTAGACAACTCCTTTGTATTTTTTGATGTCGTCATAACAGGTTGGACCCTTGACAATATTTAGTAACACTCGAAGAAAATACTCATCTTCTAATTTCCTAGGAACATAGTGAATTCGACCTAACGAAAAGCCACGACTCCTCTTCTTGAATTGCTTATTTTTTCCATCCCAAATGAAATATCCTGGTATTTCAACATATGTCAGGTCTCTAGCACGTTTTCCATGTTTTCCTATTGCATTTTGCCTACACAAAGTCATCCAAGCCATGAATTGTGAATCCTGATTCTCCACTCGTTCCAAAACGTCTTCGATATCGTCGTTTTCATCATAATAGGCTGGTTGCTTTCCTTCATCATGAAAAGACAATTTCTGAACAGGAGTTGATCTATACTGGATTGGGAACTTAAAGATCCTCCATATTGCCTCCGATGCCGAAACGTACCTAAAAAATATTAACGATTTTAAAAATCAGCAATAACTATTAGAGCAATAATATTACCGACTTATAAATTCAGCAATACGTATCTGCTCATACGTATAATAGTGTGATATGTGTGAGTTATATATAATTAAAATATGTACCCACCTACAATCAAAATAATCTTTGATTTCGTTAACCTTTTTCTGGTTCGTAGTACTTGGTCCAGAAGATGTTGTCTTTCCGGCTTCAGTTGCATTAACTGGTTCTGCATTAACTGGTTCAACAATGACTGCGACGCGGTCTGGACCCTTATTGATGTATTTGAATAGG